AGTAAAGGTCTATCTTCACTATTAGTCATTGGCTTTTTTGAGTAAGAGATGTTATCATAGAGCCATGCACAAGCCATTTTTGAAAAATCTCTTGCTCACCACGCTTCAGTTTGAGAGAGAGGGGGCCATCAGGAACGAACCTATGGGCTCTAATACCAGAAAGAGGGAGAGAGGTGAGGAGAGTAAGAAAGGGGTAGAGAGGTGAAGAGAGTTGAGAGAGGAAATTTCTCATCAATTCTTCTTTATTGGCTAATAAAGTAAAGAAGGAAGAGGTAGGGATAAAGAGAAATACGAAGTACTGAGAAGAAAAGAAAAGGTTTAAAGAGGCTAGAAAACACAGAACTAACTATTTTTTGGGATCTTTAATATTAAAAGAATAAGAAAATATGAATAAACTCACGAAGAGATAGAGAGAGAGATTAAAGAGAACAAAGGAGACGCAAAGATAGACTTGAGAAAGATAGAGCTAGAACCTTGCTTTTTTATTTTTAATTTTTATTGTATTTTTTATAAATAGGGTTACCTGTTTTGGCAAGCAACAGGGAGGTAGAAAATAATAGATGAGAAGCTTGACGAAGGGGGATGAACACTGTGCTCAACCGCCAGCAGTCTGCCGAGATATCCTTTTAAGGGCTGCGACTTGTTGGCCCTCTCGGTCAGATCAGCGACCGGAACAGTTAACATCTCATGGTGTCCGTAACGAGTAATATGCTCATAGTAAAAGAGAGCTTCAATATCCCGAGTTTCGTCCGAGAACGAGGTTAGACGAGTCTACCAAAGGATTATTAGAGCACGATGACTCTATCGGGCTTGGTTACCCAATTAATTTGCAAATTACAAAGTCAACTTCCCTTCTGATTTATTTCACACACATATTTATGGTGAAACATAGCCCGACTTACTACACAATGGTTTACAAAACCGTGGGCTAAACCATAAACGAAAAAGCAAAATTATTCATTACCCTACCACATCAGGTACATCCATATGTCACTTATACAGTACCATGGTACATCAAGTACTAGCACATGTCACTTATTTTTACATCTAGCTAAAAGCAAAAATAAAAGCAACAAGTAAAAAGCCCTAATTACATTATTTCTTGATACTGGCGCTAACATAAATTTTTGCACCAAAGAATTACGTAAAAACTAGGTGAAATATTTTGAAGGATAAGAAGTTGATACTATGAATGGTAGAAGAAAATTAACAGAATTTGCCATTAATGTTCCTGTGAAAATTGAAGAAACAGTGATTTTGGTAAATTTTGTTAAAGAAGAATGCAGTGATTAAAGAAGAATCCATTTTTTTTTAATGGAATATTTGACTATGTTACTTAAAATATGGCAATTACAAGACAAAAATGGCTTCCCACAGGCCGGGAGCTCTATACAGAAATACATCCAACATATAGCAACCCTTTTTCCTAAAACTATTAAACCAAAAAAAGGGGTCTAGAAACAAGAAATACCCATAAGGGTCTATACAAAAAGAAATGAAAGAAAAAATTGCCTTAACCACCTAAAAGAGCCCGAGTGAGTCCAAACTTGTTTTAGAGACTAGCATGCAGTTTGTAGAAAAAACGAGAAGAGGGTTTGGAGAGGGAGGGTGATGAAGGGCAAAATTATTCTTATATTTTATTTTTATTCAATTTCAAAGGATGTATATTGTAATTATAGTTTTAGCATTCATTTTTAGGGTTCTTACGTTTTTTCGAGATTCTAGTATTTTTATTTGTTATTTAATATTCACTAGTTCTTATTGATGGGTACTGTTCATGGGTTACTGTTCACATCAGTAAATTTGTTATTACGAATTTTGTGTTTAAGTTAGAACTTTTTTGGTCATTTTAATTTCTGTATGGATATTCAATGTCTTTGAATATTGAATTACAATTGATAAGAGGTGTGAGGGGCCTTGAGGGGTCATTCCACATGATTTCCAAAATTGAAAAAGCAATAAAAGCTTAAGCTTTGGAACCATAGCATGGAGTATGGAGAAGAAAACATGGGTTTCTTATGGTTTCTTCAGCTTGTACTTGTGTTTCGCTCGTTCCTTGCTGATTTTATTATATCAAATTTCCCTACATCAAGTCGTATCAGAGCTCAGGTTTTCTTCAATAACAAAGCTAGGAAACTATAACCAAGCCTAGGGTTTGCTGATTTTAGGCCAACTTTTGCCAAATCAGTCCTATTTCTTGCTGTTTTTAACGAGTTTTTGTTGATTATTTGTCTAAGATTTGTGATTTCAACAAACCCATGGTAGCGAGAAGGGATCAAGGAAGGGCAGTTTTTGCAAATCTAATTTTTGATCCCAGATATGAAGAAATTGAGAAACTTAAAAGGCAAGTTCAACAGCTAGCATAACAGTTTGCAAGCTTCACTCATGGGTAAAACAGTGATCTTTCTGCCCAAGAAGATGTCAAGCACCACCCTGTTCATCTCCGTGATTTGCTTGAAGATGAAATGATAGAAGACTTAGATGTGGGAAAAATCACTTTCGAGTTTTCGAGTTGAAGGATAATATTGTTTATTTTAACACAAATTGTCTAAAAATCAACAAGTTGTAGATTGAGATTTGCCAATAATCTTCGATATATATTCAGATGAACAACAAGATCTCTTAGGAGATCTAATCTATGATAAGGATCCAGATGAAGATGAAGATGTTTTGGAAGAAGATCTTGCTCGTCAAGAATATGGAGAGAAGGCAATTGGGGGAGGGGGGGGGGGGCGTAATCAAAATCATGGACTTTGAAGATCTCAAGGATATCAAAGAGGCGGAGCATTCAACAGATTTAGGGCATTGGGATCAAAGTAGTGCAGAGGCAGCGTGGTCGACTCATAAAATTGGGTTTGAGGTTTCCTCCACGATTTTCAATGGGAATTCAAGAATAAATGAATTTCATAAATTTGCATCAATTCCTCAAATACATATTAGGATCTGTTTCTTGAGGAATTCTTTTTACCATGAATAATATTTGAGCCACAAAGGAGGTTGAAGAAGGCATTTTGATGTTAAATTCATCTTTAACATATTTTAAAACTAGAGGACAGGTTTTCTCCAACCATGGGAGGATGATGGAGGGCAAAATTATTTTTGTTTTTAATTTTGTTTCTATTTCAAAGGATGCATATTGCAATTTTAGTTTTAGGGTTTATTTTCAAGAATCTTAAGTTTATTAAGGACTCCAGGATTTTTTTATTTTTTATTTAGTATTCAATATTTTACTATTCACGGGGTCTTGTTCATAGTTATTATTCATAGGTACTGTTCATGGTTACCGTTCATAGGGGTAAATTTCTTATTATGAATTTTGTGTTTAAGCTTGGAATTTTTTTGTCATTTTAATTATTGTATGGATATTTAATATCTCTGAACATTAATTATAATTTATAAGAGGTGTGTGTGGGGCCTTGACGAGGGGTTATTTCACATGATTTTCAGAATTGAAAAAGAAAAAAAACCCTATGATTTGGATCCCTTGCTTGAGGTATGGAGAAGAGACAATCGGTTTCTTCGACTTGTGCTTACGTTTGGTTTGTTCCTTACTGTTTTCTCAAATTTCCCTACATCGGAGGGGTAAAGGAAGAATTGTAAAGTATTACTGAGTTCTTGGGCTGTCCATGCTAGCAGTCCACCACTTGAGTCTAGCAACGACCAGTCCACCGTGACAGTTTCCCTTGGTGGTCCGCCTTAAAGGGTACAGCCACCTTTTAACAAAGATCACTTGGTACCGGCACAGGTATGGTACAAAGCTTAAGGGCAATGAAAAATAAGGTTGATCATGAGAGTGAGATTGAGTAAGCAACAACTGATTTGAGGCGGTATGGCATTCTTGGCCATCTCCATTATATGTTAGGGATTGAGAAAAGGTACCTTCCTTATAGCCTAACCACAAAAGTGAAACAAAAGTAGTAACTCTGCTTTCTAAGTGGCAGAGTTAAAGTTGTCAAGAAGTCTACAACACTAAAAGATATAGGAAGTGTGAGGAGATTCCTGACCCATGAGCTCAGGAAGAGTTGCACCCGATCCCAAGGGATGATTCTCCATTAGAGGTTTCTTTGTCATTCCTTGCTCTAGGGAGTAGAACATTTTGTTTGTTCGATCCATTCCTGGGATTTTGGCAGTAAAGGGAGGAGTATGTTGGTGTCCTCCAGCCACACACAGGGTAACAGAGGTACGCAAGCTGTAGGTGGGAGAGGAGCTAGGTGGCCAATTTAGTGCCTAATAGCAATATGCCAGGGCCCTCATACGTACGATAAAGAAGAAGGGACAAAGGGTCAAAGAGGTGGGAAAGCTTATTCAGAACAGACTGCAGCAAAACCAATTGAGTTAGGGACACTTAGGACTTTCCCTGCATGATCAGCTAATGGGAGTTGAGATCAAATCTCAAATCTTATCAGATTTCTAAAGATAAATAACAATATAGACTTCTATTTATGGCAGGCAATGATGCACTACAACCCAATATGCTAAAAGGATATCAATTGCAAACCATGAAATCACAAATGTACTAGGATTGAATCAGTTTTCCTATATCGAAGGACCGCAAAAAACAAGGAATAACAGAAGGGACTTCATTGAATGTCAAATGAATAACAACATCAAGCTATTTCAATATTGAATTCAAGCACAGGATACTTAATCTACTGTGCAGAATGAATAGAACTCTAAAAACTTGATGATGTGTAACAAATACTTTGTAAATGTACTATACCAAATGCCCATTGCAAGAACATAAAGATAAATTTATCAGTCTAAAATTCTTAATTAAAGTTGACATCACTGTCATTATCATCATCATCATCGGAGATTTGGGGTCAGCTGTCAACATACTAAAATATCCAATGTTCCAAAGTTTTTTTTTTTTAAGAGAAATTCCAATGTTCCGAAGTTTATGAACAAAAGGCACAACATTCTCTATATTTAACAATTGAACATGGTGATGTGATTATACAATAGCCAATATCTCATTCCAACAATGATGCAATAGATACCTGTCTGATAGAAAAACAAATCGCTCATTAAGAGAATCCTTTAGTGCATTTCTCAGCAAAATACGTTCTGCTTCAATCATACTTGATTCTCCCCAATCTACCTAAAAATAACATGGAAATGAAAGAAGTAACAATCACAGCTCAAAGGAATAAGTATAGTTAGTTTGTGACAATTATACCACAACAAGCTTTTCCTCAAATAAATGCATCTGACTACCACTATAAAATAAATGATGCAACAATTTGGAAGATCTATAACGGAGTTAGTTCACCATTAATCAACACTTACTGTAAAATAAATTTATGGCTCCATAAACCCATCAAACAACAGGAAATATAATAACTATGTGTGTGTGCATGCGCGCACACACACACACATATATATATACACTATGCATAACCTAATAACCATAGATGGGTTAACTATAGTCCTTGGAACCGGTAAACCTACAATCTGCTAGTTTTTGCAAATGGTATTTGAGACGTTCAACACATTATTTTTGTCAACGATCCAAAAAAAAAAAATACTAGATTTTTTTATCAACTTCCAAAATTTATTTCATACCTCATCTTACAGATTAAAACAACCTCACAGTTCCCAAAAAACTTACAGAGTTTTGCAAATCGCTCTGTTCTAGCTGTACCTTACATCTTCACAAAACTTCTACAGGTGGCATGTTAAGGACCTCAAAATAATCAGTTAATCATAGACACCCTACAATGAAACAATGTGACCAAGGGCTGGCAAACCAGCTACACTCTGTTCACTCAGCACAGCCACCATAGTTGCTACATGCTCCAATCATCATTCAAAACATCTCTGTCACCATTTCAGACAATAGCAAGACCTAGATGATTCGCCAAGTCAAATAGCCAATATGGCAGGACTTGGTCAACTTTTAAATTCTTGCAGCAGAATTCAAACTTAAGTGCAACACTACAGGGTTACTGGGCCGTGAAATCGACTCGAAACTAGTTTTTCCACTGCAGAACTCATTCAAGTGCAAACATGAGTTGACTGGGCCATCAACTTGACTCGAAACTAGTTTTTATGCACTGACTCCAACTTTCCTTCTCTTTGCGAAGGTACTTAGGATGCAGTAACCATGGTTACTCCTTTTTATAAAACTTTAGCAACTGAAAGGCCCTAACGATCACGTTTTCCTACACAAAGAAGTCATGACAATAGGAAAACCCAAAATCTGATAACTAATTATTGAAGCTGTTTTGGAAATGTCAACAGTACCATCGATCACCACTGCAACATCAGCCACTCTCCTTCCAACTCAACTGGAAAGTTCCTGCCAGACACTAGAATAAAAAATGTGCTCCACAGAAGCAAGGCATCAGCATATACCCTCACACTCACGAAAAGCAAGATATGTTGCACTGTGCAATTGCACTGAACATGCAACTAACAAATGCAACTACTCAGAGAAAACTCCGTTCAGACCCATAAGCAACGCACTCAAAGGGTATGAGAAATAAGTGTGACAGAGAATGAACCAACACTCGATTGCTGAGGGAATGACCCACTCCTTTTGTTTTCCACTTCTCCTCCTTTCACTTCCTAACTTTCACTATCACTTTTATACAGCTACATTCCTCATAAAACTGCTGCACTTTTGAGTTAATAACTTGTGTTTCTTTCCCTTTTGCCTTCACAGTAATATAATTATCAAGTCCTAGAAAACTACCTCTGCATTCTAGTTGCATCACTTATACAATTAAAAAACAAAAAAAAATCCACTATTTACAATTCAAATTCTGAAATGTGTTCACTAGCACAACTTTTCTCATGCAAGAGGTATGTCTGCTTTCCAGTTTTTTAACTGATCTTCTTGGGTGAGAGTTTTAATGGATGCTTGCAGAAAATCGATGCTTTTATCCCTGTTAACGTGATGCATATTTTTATCTACTTAGCTTTTAAATATGAAATTGGTCATTTTTTTAACCTTTTGTGCAACCAAATTCTCCCTTGTATTCCGACTTCCAACACTGTATTCCGACTTCCAACACTCTACACCAACAAAGACACTAAAAATCTGAACCGACCACTTTAGGCTCACCAATGATGAATCCACAATTTAAGGAAAGAATACGACTATCACATGATATCAAAGAAAACTTACAAGAGTGACCTATACTCATGACACTCTTGAATACATGCTTATCCATTCAAGTTACGCCATAAAGGTTGTTTATAAACTATTGTTAAGTTCAATATTGAGGCATTCATCCATTGACGGAATCCTAGAATAACTCTCCTTTGTTTTAAAAAGATAAATTGTGATCTAGAAAAGCCACTTAAAAACCAACCAACCACCAAATCAACTAATTGTCATGAGTAATGAACATTAAAGCAACAAGAGCAAGTACAATGCACCCCAACTAAATGAAAGGAATTGTTAAATAACTGTGAGCTACAAAGAAAAATAAACTTCTAAAATTTGCACTCTAAACATCAATCAAGATAAGATAAAGAACCTGTATGCTATCATTAAGTTGACAACCATAAAAAAGGGGACATCTTGTTGTCACTTTATTGAAAACAAATCCAGGCCGTGAATGGATATAAATTGAAAAGGCAGGCTCCTTGGCACCCTGCATAAGGCAATAAAAGCATTTTAATTTGGTAAGCTCCCCCTTGTCAAAGATAATTAAAACGAAAAGGTTTAGTGATGCAATCCCTTGTATTAGTAGATTGTCTAAATTTTTAATCTAGCTACTGCTTCAAATTTTAATCTACTTTATTAGAAATATAATAGACCCTAAGGGTGGGATCTTGGCTTTTTTTTATTCCCTTTCGTTGGGGTGGAGATGGGGAGTTGTAATTGTTGAATTTAAACAAAGGAAATGTATACATTGAGACCATTTACCTTTGGTACAAGGTAGTCACAATTAATCTTGACCATTGGATGTGGAATTGGATGGTTGCATTTATTCCATTGACCATGCACAAACTTCAAAAGAAATTTTTTTTAACTTTGTTACACACCTAAGCTATCAGATTTCACATCGGATGGTTATAAATAATTGTGACCTCCTTGTATCAAAGGTAAATGGTCTCATTGTATACAATCCCTTAAACAAATTTCCAAAACTGGCAAGGGCAATAAATAGATAGTTTGCTGATGCACCTCAACCTATCTCATATGCACTAAAATTGAATTGTGATTTGTTACAGAAGGAAGCAAACCAGTGACATGCAAAAATCATATACAAAATCCTCCCACGTCAATAATCAAACTCTCCAGATTCTCATGGCCTAGACTGGAAACTGAAAAATCTCAGTACAAAAAGCTCCAAATTACCCTTTTTCCAAGTTTAAAAATCAATTACCAAACCAAGTATCTGCATATCCCCTGTCCTTGTTAAGGAAATCAAATAGAGCACTGACATGCTCTATCTAAAAAATCACATGGCATTAGAGAAAAGCTAATACATGAACTAAACAATAGACTGGATATTTCTATCAGTGGAATAAGAGATATTTTATGAACAACAATGAGTTTATGGAAAACTAAGAAATAATAGTACCTGGAAGAAAGCATCCCAAATGAGATCCACAGGTAATCGGTTGCGAGCAATGAAAAGAAATGCAATCTTTGGTTTCTGAAATGATGTAAACGGCCTAATTCGACTGTATTGCACTTGGACAACTAATAAACTCACAAAACAACAGCTCAGAAGCAACACCCCAAAAATCCTGTTCTTCCATCGACTGCAAGCCTTTTGCTTTCTCTTCATGGTTTTATCAGGCCAAGAAAATCACATCAAGGAAAGCAATTCATCCAACATTTACAACAAAACTCGTACAAAGTGACAAGTTATCAAAGTAGCGAATACTCTCTCCCAACGATTCCATTGATAGAAGCTTAACATCAAAGCACTCATGTTCACGAGAACATGAACCAGAATGCTTCATTTTCCTACAGAAAAAAGTGAAGTCAACCAGCGATAAGTAAAGAAGGAAGTTATGATAAATGAAACTGGTTTCCAACAATTACTTCCCCAAAAGATAGTTCATTTTCAGACAAGCACTCAAATCTTCCAGCAGTAAAAAATCTTATAGAAATTCCCTCATCTTAAACAAAAGAAACCTCCAACGAGTTGCTTGATCCCTTTGAAGTTATTTTTCCCTGATTTTTCATGAATTTCAGCCAGATTTACAGAGAAGACAACATCATAGAAAATGCATCCAAACATTTTCTACAATAACCCATAGACTTTGCCAAATTTTGCAGATAAGCATCAATTCAGATGCAAAATCCCCAATTCATCCATGATTTTCAATGCATCTCAACCATATTTGCCCTAATTCGAAGCGAAAACCATGATTTCTGCAGATTATTCGAAAGAAATCAATACAATTCACACAGAAAGCGAATATGTGAAGCTTTAATAAAGTTTAAAAACTTATAGAGAAAGAAACCCTAATTAAGAGTGCGAAGGTCAGTGCGGAGAGAGTGCAGAAGCGAACCTGCTGCAGATTGAGACAGCGAGCCCAAATGACAAACCCGTTTCATGGGCTGTCCTGTGAGACTGAAAGATCCTGCCCAGTCACACCGAAACACGTGGTACTTGCTCACCTGCCAGTTTACACAAGATTTTAGGCCCTAAATGACCGGCCTTTTATTCCTGCACCTAAAGCTGCTTTGGAAACGAGCCATCCAGAATGAAATTGTGGTCCATTCTATTATCTCCTCCTCCTCCTCTTTTTTTTTCTCTTCCTTTTTTTTTAAAAAATTGGCGAATCAGACTGTTTGATTCAGATCGAAAATCTTTGAGGCCATTTGGTTTTGCCTAAATATTGAGAACTAATTGGTTCCCCTGGGGACAAGATTAGTTATGACTTGATTTTTTGACAGAACTAGTTCGATTTATTGAAAATCTAGTCCCACTTTATTTTTCAATATTTTTTCAATTTTTTGTTGCCTAATTGTTAGTTTTTTTATTCATCTATTAACTAGGGCGGATCATTGATTTGAGCTGTAGATCTACACCGGTTTCCTGGAGGCAATCCGAGTTACCAAGCCATGTTTTTAAAGCTTGCATGAAACTTAAAATGTGCCATGAAGTTATGAATTTTTTTTTTTTAGATGTTGAGATCCATTCAGTTATTTCACATACAACGATAGATAGTGGTTGTGATCTCCTTGTATCAACTATAAATTATCTTAATATATGCTTTTGTATGCATAATCTAAGAAATAAAATATGTATTAGAATTTTTTGTAGCAAAAAAAAGTAAAATGTTATGTTACCATATGGATAAATTATTTTGCATCTTGAATGCGTGATTCCAACCTAATTTAGACTTGAAACCCATCCAAAATCACAGTAACAAACCAAACAACTCAAAAAACCATAATGAATTGGTCAAAAGTTTAAAATAGTATGTTTTTAGGTTTAAAATTTGATTTTTTTTTTTTTAAAGTGTTTGTTGGGAAGTATGGGACTTCAAACTTCCAGGTTTGGTTGATTTTTCCCAATGTATTGGGGTGCATAGCATAAGTTAATACACTTTTGTTATTTGAGTGCCTGCCATTTGAACTTAAAAAAGATTTTTCTACATTTGATATTTGTCAAAAAATATCTTTTTACATGTGATATTTGTCAAACATCAACTCTCTCTTTCTCTCTAACCCTAAGGTGAAATTTTGGAAATTGAACAAAAATCGAAGAAAAAGCATTCAAACCTTTTAGTGGTACATAATGGTCATTTTTTGGCAATATAATTGGTGACCTCTTATATCAAGTTAGGTAGGTTCAGAATGGAGAAGTAGTTGTCATTGCTATAAAGTATAAATTACGTTCTCCAATATAGGAGAATCTTTGGGCAAGTATCAAATCGTGGTCTCCCAGTTAATGAAGGCATAATGTCCATTTTTTAGGCCATTATGATTGCCTTGGATAAGGGATAATTCATTTTTTAGGCCAATATGATTGCCTTAGATAAGGGATAAAATTAGTGCTTTATGCAAGAAAGCATCCAACCGTCGTTTGGTTATGTTTGGAAAATAATTATACAACTAACACCCTCCTAAAGTTTAAATTTTGACTCAACTACCACTTGTGAACCTCCTCGTTGTTTTTAGTTGGTTGAGCTTTACTACCACGTGCGAGCTTGAGTCTTTTTTTTCATTTTTTCTTGTTAGGTGGGGTCAGCTTGGTTTGCTAGAGATAGGTAGGAAGGCCTAGGAACCCAAGACCCTTTCAAGTTCTTGGGGTTAAGCTCAAGGGATTTTGGTCCTTTTTTTTTTTTTTTGGTATAAATAGTAAGGGTACGTTTTGTTCATATAAAAATATTTTTTGGAAAATATTTTCACATGAAAAATTTCAAATTTCCTCTTATGGTTAAGTGCGGGAATATTTCACTCCAATTAGCTACCAATTGATGTAAAAAGATGAATTGAGACCAATTGGTATGAAAATATTCACATACCTAACGGCATGAAGAAATTCTTTTACGTGAAAATATTTTCGAAAGAAGTATTTTCACGCACAACAAATGTACCCTAAATTAACAAGAGATGATCTCCCATTTTAATCCTAGGATTATAACTTGAGAGAATATTAGCATACATACGATATGGGGAACTACATGTATCATCAACATTCCATTGTCAACCCAGATGGTTGAGAAGTAATAGCCATGTTGCATTGTAGTTTAGAAATAGTGAACCCCACATCATATTGTTTGCTTACTACATACATAAATGTATGCAAGCCCAATGCGTTGTACAATATTTTGAGTCGTGTAATATAAGACTATTTATATTTGGTACAAGAAGGTCAGAGTCTCCCTTAATTATCAAATGCACAACTTGTGGGGTGTGTCACAAAGTTCAAATTTTACTTTTCAAAACCTTGAGTCAATCATAAACGCACGCTCAGTAGTTGAAGTTCACATCTAATAACTAAGGATGATTGATGATTGTGATATTTTTGCATAAAAAATAAATGATTTTATCTAGTACTTTTTCTCTCTTTTTCACTGCTCTACAAATTATGCATTTATGTAGTTGTGACAATACTTTAACCTAAAAACCAATTGCAAAAATCTTGCTATTCACAAATAATCACTTGTTATTCATCAAATAACGTCACTGTATCAGTTGCCATGATTATTTTTGCTGGTGGTAGGGCTTTGCTTTTAAGAAAACTCATTGAGACTTGGGATTTAAGAATTGCCTGGTTTCACTGTTCATTACTTGATTGCAAACATTTGACTAGGACTTCTCTCCTCAAGTGTCAAACTGATTCCAAGGCTCACACATCGACCATGAAACCTAGCCATTCACGATTGCGCCGTAAGTACTGGTGTCCTTTAGGAACTCTTCAACCGTTGGATGTCAGTGTTCGACGGTTGATGGGTATCAAAGAGTTACCTTGAGCATAGATACTTCTCAACCACCCACTATTGAAACTTGATGTTTTAGAAGTAGTTGGAATACTTTTTTATTTTCTCTCCCTCACGCTCGTTTTTTTCATTTTTTTTTCCTTATAAGCAATATATTTTCTAGGAGCTCCTCAACCATTCGATATCATCATCAAATGGTTGACGGGTATCATCTAGATAATTCATAAGTAGCTGGTTTTTTTTTTCAAGCAATAGACTTTTAGTCTAAACCCAAATGATTGGAAACAGTACTTTACCATTTAATTGTAGGTAGGGTTTAGGTGAGTCTAGGGATGCACTTGTTACAATGAATCCAAATTTTGGAAGTCAATCATATAGACCACAAGCATTATGAAAATGGAGGAAAAAAAAACCAGAAGCCTTAGTTTATTTCATACATTTTTCTATGAACTATTAATTGTATATCTTAAAGGATCATCAAATCTGTAGAACCTTTGGAGGTCTAAATTCACAGCACTGAGATAGAAATGAAGTTATGGTGATTTGGGATGTATTTCAATTCCTGAGTCCCTCGAAAACTAGCATCAACACACTCACCAAATACCTTTGCTGATATTAGTTCTAGCAAGGTTTCATTAGCTGACTCATATGCATAGGGAAATTAAACGTGATGAGCGACTCCCTTATTTTGAATAGTTAATTGACAAGACTTCTTTATATAAATAAGAAAAATATCAATACATGATCAAGCCACCTCTAAACATCAATGAGGTGGTTAAATTTCAATTTATTTGTCAACAAAGTAGTTGCATTTTAAAAATCATTTGACTAGGTACCTCATAAGTTACTTTGTTAAAAATATCCAAACTGCCCATGTTTCAAGTTTGCAACCTTGAACAAGTGAAGGAATTTTGATAATTTGTCAACTTAAGTCATTTTGCCAAGTGACCTAAATACTTCTCCTTGTTCAAGGTTGGAAACCAACGAACACATATTTTTCACCAGGAAAATGTGTTCCAAGTTGAAATATAGAACAAGTAGGGTATGTACATCTTTTGGCTCGTGTAGCGTAAGTTGGGAAAATTATCAAAATGCCTGCGTCTCTTGGATTCCAAACTTGAATCAATAATTTTCAATGAAACATATGTTTTAAGTTGGGAATTTGGATCAAAAAATTGATGTGGGGAAAATTAAGGGAATAATGAAATTAACAAGAAACAAGCCAAACATAAGCAATTTGGAAGAAACTCTAAGGTTTTCTCCCACCTATGACTCAAGCTTTAGGTTTTTTTTACAAAACAAAGTCTTTCTTTTATTCAAGCCTTTTCAATTTGCCTTTCAAGTTTCTTGCTGTCACACCCCAAGAATTTACAATACTATTATTCCTGAGATGTGACGGACAAAACATATATACATCTATTGATAGGACAAATTTACAGTGGCAAGGTCTTACATAGTAAATAAAAAAAGCTAGCACAACAACAGTATCTTTCAAGGTTGATCTTGACTAGCACTCAAAATGAATCCGTAGTTATCCTGAAAAAATGTTTACCATAGTTTGATGAGTTTGGCTACTCAGTAAGTGATCATCATAATCCTAAAAATAATCATGATTGAAAGATATCAATATTTTCCAAAATAAGATCTATTAACAGAAATGCATCAACAGTTTCACTTTCAATAAACGCATAATTAAGTATAATCCGAGTAATTGAAATGCTTATAACACTTTTAACGGCAGTATATAATTCAAAGGATTTCACAAAATACCCTACTGGCGTCCCAAGTAGGTCACCTATATACCCCATCAGCATCCTGATGGGTCCACTTAATCCCTATCGGCGTCCTAGATAGGTCCACTTAATCCCTGCAGGTCCACTTATACCTCACCGGCGTACCGGATTAGTCCACTTAATCCCTACCGGCGTCCCAGATAGGTCCACTTATACCTCACCGTCGAACCGGATGAGTCCACTTGCATACTTAAATTATTTCTCAATTTCTTTAAACATTCGAAAGCAGCAATATCATGTACTCAACGTATCACTAAAATCATTAATATGAATTTCACTTAAACCATTAATAACAGTCACTCTCTATAATATTTCAAAAATAACCAATCAAATATTTTGGGCTCAAATTTAGAAAGGTAGCAGTTTGTAAAGGCATTCTAGCATAATTGCCAATTTAATATGTATAGAAAAACTCTTATAAAAATTCAAGAATACGGAATTATCACAATTTATGGGATATCAATCCACAAATAAATATTTCACAACAATACTATAATCAATTGCAAAAATGTCAATTTTT